ACAGAAAACTTACGTCCATAGGATTGATAAAGTTATTGATTTGTTTCATTCTAAAGATACTGATGCAAATGGGTGGGCCCGAGGTCTGACGTAGACGAAGATATAGAACTTTATTAATGGTTCTCACCTAAGTCTTAAAAATATGATTCAGTTATAACCTGATGTGACAACATAATGTGATAAAACATAGATGTATGTATTTAATGGGAAATTTACTTTAAATGGTGTAACACTACACGTTGATAAAATATAAACCACTTAATGACACTTAACCACTGTGATAAGTGAATCATAAGGGAAAAGCAATCGAAAATGAATCACTTGTGAGCACAGGATGCGTGATGAGAAAACATATTGACATACAAGCATCCACTAAGGGTCAATAAAATCTAAGTAAAGTTACCTATTAGTTTACATTACTTAGGTACTATTAGCTCAGTTACTAAGAAGATGACTAGATTAACATGGATTACGTTGAATACAATGATATAGTAAGTTACAAACGCAAGAAAAATGGAAGTCTTCGTCTAGATTCTAGACGAAGACTTCCATTTTTCTAATTAGTTGCAGTTCTAGACTCTAGAACTGCAACTAATTCGAAAGATAATACTTAGTTACTTGTTACCTGATCTTTAAGCAATTAAACTTTTCACCAATGCACAATTAGCTACTTAATAAGAAATCTATACATGGACAAAAGGTAACATTGTCCTATAGGTGGCTAAATGACACTAAGCGCCAATGTAATGGAACAAAAGGCCCTAAGCCTCAAGTACAGACAAGAGTCATTAAATGCAAATCCCATTCCCTATGATTCAGAGACGGCGCTGGCGATGGCGCCGCATTGCATACCTACCTTCAAGGCTACTGTACGGTATTGAAACAAATAGGTTATACTAGCCAGTCAACCGTAAACATGGAGTCTTCGACTAACTGTAGTTCGGAATAGATGGATTATAGTGACCGATAAGGGGTCATTAGCGGACGCCAGGTGCAACGTGCACCTTTCCTACCAGCCCGGAATGCTATTACGATAGAAAATTATTCCTTGCTTCAGTGGCTTGAGGTATAAACATAGAATGTAGCGACTTGGGAGTACCATTGATACCTCGTTTATCTTGTTTACAGATCTTGACACAATTTTGATATGAACAGTCCCAAACCATGGCGGTTGTATTTGGTGGGTTAGATAAGGAAACTGTTTTAGATTGTAACAGTTTTACTAAAACCACAATCTACGTAATTTCGTGATTAACTCATTCTCCGTATTATGTTAGGCATTCGATTGCTTTGGTGGACATTTTTGGCCGAAAATTCTGAAGAAGTGAAAGTTTGTATCGCAAATTATATTGTAGTTATTATTATTTATAAACGTGTTTCACTGCTATCTTTATTGTTGAACTCTACGAGTCTACACACATGTAGTTACCAGTGAAAAACCTTTTACATATAATTCCGAATTACCTACAAGTAGATTTAATGCATAATTTTTGTAGTGATTGTGAAACATGGCGCAAATTAGGACAAGGATATTAGAACAAGTCACTGACTCTAGCGCCGACTCATGTCGAATTCCAATCGTTTGTAAGGCGATAGTACTTATGCCTTCAACGGTGGAAACAATCAGTAACATACAGAAGATTGCATGTAATTAGGCTAATTAGCGTTCTAATACTAAATGCCTATTTAGTGTTTAGTTATAAATACCCATTTTATTTAGTTGTTTTGGTACTTTTAAGTATCAAACTTTACTTTTTATGTGTGACTTACTTTACACAATACACTGTCGTGGGATAGTTTTCTCCTATCGAATTGCATCTACCATGGAAGTCCATAAGCCATTCTAGACAATCAGACATGCGTAATTTAATCTTTCATACTGTGATGTACGGTATGGTAATGTAATGATGTATGAAATTAAATGTGAGGAGAAATTGCGCAGGCCATTTTTCATCAAAATGAAAAGCCTATGCGAGGAACCATTCAGTTTTAATGATGTTGTTGGGTCACATAGTGTTAAATAATGAGATTTTTCGCATGTTTGGTTACTAAAAGGATGTCCCCGTTCCTATCGTAAAAACGCCTCCGGAACAGCATATCCCCGGGTTTATCTAAAGGAAGTTATCTATCGTAAAACTTGCAGAGGGGTCACCGAAGTGATTTGTCCAAGCTGATTGAATTAGCGAAAGGATGTCGCCTCAATCCGGGGTCGGCTCGGGTCTCGGGTCGGGTTTATAGCATCAGCTGCCTTCATTAACACGTGTTCCTCATCATTATTAGTTGCATGATTCATTCCTATTTTGAATATAGCAGTCGTTTATGCTTCAAGTGTTCGTTCACATCGGAATGCATGTGTGTACGTAGACTTGGAGACTGTTTTGAAATTACCACAATGATGCACTATTCAATCTTTTAAGCGTTGTCATTGTCAGATACGGTAACGGAAGCTATGTTCTTTAAACACGTTCACGAAGTATCTTTCTTCGTTTTGGAAATAGTACTCCTGCAATGCGTCAACAACCAACAGGTTATGAGCAACATCCAGTCTGGATACTACATTCTAGTTTCTTTTATAAAAACAAACGCAACTGCATTTTGTTACAACTTGCCCTTTTAAAGTAAGAGTACGATCGTTCTGAAGTTCATTACAGTTCACTGCCGTATATGTAGGTAGGTACTGCATTTTGAACAGATTAGGTAAGTACTAGACAAGTTCTTTTAGGTGCAGACAGCCTCGAAAATTAATGGTATCAATACACGCTTTGAAGTTACGTACAATAAGTATTACAAAATTACAAAACGGCAATATATTTGCACAAAAAATAATTGAAGAGCCTGATAATAATGTTTGATTTCGCAATTTTATAAAATGAATCAAATGTTTGCTCGACACACAAACAGGTGAGTAAATCAATATCAATTGAATGGGCTCGATACGTAGCCCTTATCAGGGCACACAGGTACGTGCCGTTATCAACAAACTTATCATCTGCTTGTTTATCGACGGATAACGTGATCAATAATTGTGTTAGACTAATTTAAAAGTATTTTGGTACACAGAAAAGATGCTCTTTTTATATTCTTAGCAAAAAATAAAAAGCGAATATCAGTTATGAGGTTGATAAGTTTATGGCGTGATTTTACAGAAGAAGGGTCAACTTTTTATAGTCTATCAAAACAGGGAACATTGTTAAGTTCAGCTGTGTTAACGAAATAAACAAATGACTTATTGGATTCTGGTTTATCAGATAGATGGCTTAGATTTAACCTAACTGAAGATTTTCTAATCGGATTCCAACTTGAACTTCAATTTACATAATACAAGATAACAACATGAATAATGTCTAAAAATACTCTCCTCTAGTCTAAGGATTTATATGAAAACCTGCCTAACGGCAAGAAACTAACAAGCCATAATAATTACTTAGCACGCAAAGGCGTTGAGTGCTACAACCAGTTACAAAGAAGCAATTCTAGTTACCGTACTAATTCCCGGCTGGAGAACTTATCTAAATTGGAGCAAACATTTTGGAAGGTATCATACATGTTGTTCTACTTACCACAGCAACTAACTTCCCGCGCACTGTGATGCCGATCATAGGCGCGAACCGGACTTCCACTCCTGGTTCTATTACCAGTTCTGCATCTCTTTCTATGAGCAGGTCATCCCGAAGCATATATGGGCTACTATCAGGCTTCCACACCGTGCGGCCACCGGTCAACACGCCACCCGGCAATTCTGTCAGACCCAACGACTTGTTTAGAAGATAAGGGTCTGCTGTTACAAGCTTCTCTTGTCCTTTACACTCACAAAAGCAACACAATACCGTTATTACGAACAGTAGGACTGTCCTCCACTTATATTTCGTGTCGCTGAATTGACTGTGTCTCTTCTGCAAACCCATATCCTTACAGCACTCCATTATTCACTAACTATACACAAAAATATTCATTTCACTTTTACTGTGTTCCTCACCTGCTGCAACCTATTTTTCAACACCTAATCCAAACATTGCAGACTAACTTGACTATATACGACACAACACATTTTCGTAAATAAACATTAATGTTTTAAATCATTTCTCACATTAATAAGAAAATTTGAATCAAAACAATTCATAACGAAACAAAGGTGGGGCTAGTAAAAATAAAACAAGCCAAATTACGCGCTGCCGCGCGACCGTTGAACGAAGTCGTTTGTCCGGTTTTCGTGTTCGTGTTGATTCCTCCTCCCTTCCCTCCTCGTATTTCAGCCTCACTCACTCATTCCATCAAAAGCCTCCTCCCCTCCACTACTACTATGTTTGTGAGAGCCTGATATCTACCAATGACGTCATGAATTTGGGGTCGTGGTACCTTTCGTAGTAGTTCATTCATTCATTCTTACCCGAGGAAAAGTAGAATATTGGTATTACAAATCAAACTGAAAAATAATTGGTTGAATATTTTATTTGTCAACAAATAAATATAAATTAAGATACCTTACTATTTTCTTTAATTATTTAACTGATATTTCAGCAAAATAATATTATCACACTTATTTAATAAACTTGCAACACTGACGACTATGCTACCGTGGGAAAAGTTCATTCGTCTGTTCCGTCGCGTTTCTTTAACGATCGTGGGATCGTTCATTCACTCATAAATTTCGTCGACTCTTTTATGTCTTCATAATTTATATTTAAAATAGTTGAAAAATAGTCATAATTTAGGTAATTTTAGGTCTATTTTAATTACTTATCATTTTTATATCAACGTTACACGTAAGTTTTAACTATTATTCAAGTAATACATGTTTTATTCTAATTGTTGGCGTGGCGTGGCAATGCTTGTGCAGTGTCGACATTTTGTTTTCTTCATTGTATTTATATATTTATTTCTGTGCGAAGTACGGTTGCGTCGTAATTACTTTTGTGTTAAATAACTTGCAATTTGTTAATGTGATCCATTGTCGAAGTATCTGATTTGAAATCATTTTATTTATAGATTTCAACACAATCATGAGTTCTGGTGGTACTCGCGTGTATGTCGGCGGATTAGTGGAAGGCATCAAGAAGGAAGACCTCGAGAGAGAATTTGATAAATACGGGAAACTAAACTCGGTTTGGGTGGCTCTCAACCCTCCCGGTTTTGCCTTCATAGAATTTGAAAACTTGCAGGAGGCTGAGGATGCGTGTAGCGCGATGAACGGATTCGAGATGTTAGGCGCGACCCTAAAAGTAGAGATCTCTAGGAAGCGGGATGGACCCCGCAGGGGCGGCGGCTTCCGAGGTGGACGTGGAGGCAACTTCAGAGGCCGTGGCTTCGGAGGCCCGCCCGGAGGTGGCAACCGATCCTTCAACTCGTACGGCGGAGGCCGTCCCTACAATCGCAACAACCAGCGCGATGAGTATGGCTCCGGCGGCGGCAACTTCAGATCTAGGTCGCCATTGTCTCGATATTAATTTAGTATTAGTTTTATGTTAGGTGTTAGTGTTATCGTAATCTGAAGCCTTCTAAGTGTTAAATTCAATGTCTGGTAAAAACTGGGGGTTCAATGTTAATACTAGGAGGTGTTCCATTGATGTCTCAAGGAATTAGAGGTAATAGCTTTTGATTTATCTATCATGTAATTCAGTGTGTCTAACTAAAACTTTGTCTAATAATTAGCATTTCAATGTACTATGTAACTCGTATCTTTCATTCAATAAATTTATGTGAAAACAACTTCTGTTGTTCATTCACTTATATATATCCATTACTATTAATATTTAGTCCATTTGAGTGTATGAATATTAATGTAAATGTGTTTGTATAACCTAAAATCTAACCAATGATGAGATTCATTGACCGGATAAAGCCATCAATGTAAGTTGAAGTCTTATCAACACCCATACTACGGTGTTTAGGCAAGTGAATAACACCGTTGTATTTGTTTCAGTTCCTTGGAATTCTGATCTCGGGTGATTTAATTTTTCGAGAAGTTAATGCAAGAACAATCCTTCAGTGATTACTTAACATTCTGCCTAAGCACCCTAATTGCTAAGTTTCTTTAAAAAAATACATGATTATATAATTCTATTTGATTTTTATTATGTCAGATACAAAATGACATCAAAATTTTAATTACATTAAATAATTTCACAAAATTATGAGGGACTGCTTAAACACGCCATTAGTAGTTCCATCTTATTCAAGAAGTTTTTGCCTTCCATTTTTTCTAATTTAATTTCCTTGAAAGCTCCTCCAAGATGCTCCCACTTTTTATCTTGGACAAGTTCGCTTGTGAAGAAATCTTTTCTGGGAGATTGAGCAATGTATACTTGGATACCGACTGATGGCTCACATCTGATTGCTAACATCCGGTCACCTAAAAATAAAACCAATTTTAAGCAAGTAACAGTTTCGATAAAAACATGTTCAGTCACAATCAATTGGTTCAAAATACATCACAATTTGACATAGTGTGATCCCATGATAACCTACCATTTGGCGAGGCAAGGAGACAAGAAGAAGCATTTCCTAGTGGTTCTACAGGTCCTGAACCAAGATGTGAGCTACTAGCTAAGAGTTGCCAGCCCATGCACCTGCCCACAGCCTGCACTGCAGTCATCTGATGCTGATATATCTGTTGGCAGAATTATCGATTTTAGAATTTGCTAGAACATAGGATTTTGAAGTTACAAATACGTGAATTTATAATACTAATCTCGAAACTATGATGAGTACTTTCGATATTAATTTTAGTTCGTCATTATTATACACTATTTGATAGAAATTAGGGTAGGTAATAATTATAAAACGCAGTATAGTAATTGATGTAAACTGATTCTAGTATCTTGTATTTCAATATTTACCTAAGTTAGTTGAGGTTCAATTAAAAAAATATAATATTGTAGGTAGATGAAAAAAATTCTAAGTTTTACCTGACAATAAATAAGATCCCTAAGTTCCTGAAGTTCGTAAGACAAATGTCTAACTTTCCCATCGCGACAAATGCATTTGAGAGTCTTTTCCCCAACATGTACTACAAGTGAAGTTCTGCAAACTGCATCATACCTGAATGGGAAAAATTAACTCATAGAAAAAATGTTCTTGGAAAATAGAAACACAATTATTATTAATTAAAAATTTTGCCTTTATGTGTAGTGACTAAAAACGGGCTAAGTATATTACATAAAGAATAGGTACCTAATAAAGAAAATACAGTTAGGTAAAAGAAGTTTGAACTCTTCACCTCAATTATATCTTAATGCAAGATACAGCATAGTAGGTGATAAGAAAACAAAATACATTTATCTATATAAATAAAAAAGAATTTCCGTTCGTTAGTCTCGCTAAAACTCTAGAACGGCTGAACCCATTTGGCTAATTTTGGTTATGAATTATTCGTCGAAGTCCAGGGAATTTTAAAAAGGTAAGAAAAAAATTAGGCAGAATAAAGTTAAAACAATAACCCATTGTAGGAAATAGACTGAAAAAGAGAGATTATATTATTTAGTATACAAAAGTATCACTAAAATCCTAAAATAGGTACCTATTTTAAAATAGGGTAAATGAGAACAGATTTAGGTAATTATTGCAACTTACCCGTAAGCCATTATATTGATTTTCACACATGATTGTGTTGGACTATTCAATGCATTCCAGTGGGACACGATCAGTGGATCTTTCACCTGGTTAGAACATAATATTAGTACATAGTACTTAATGTCAAGTGATTTAAAGAAACATGTAAGATTTTTTATGTCCTCGAGGTAGTTAATTTCAACTAGTTTTTTTATAGTTCAGAATAAATTAAATAATTGTTTAGGTGTAACATAATTTTTATTAGTAACATTTTCATTCTGGGACACATCCAACACTTTTCGATGATATTTTCATTATTTTATTTATGAATAGTTTTTTTGTTATTGCTATCTATTTGGTCTACTTTCTAAGATGTCCAACTACACCTGTTTAAAAATTCAATACTATAACATTGGATCATTACTTGTAACATCGTTTTTTACATATTTTTCTTGTATCTAAATAAAGTCAGATGGGAAAAGAATAATTATGGTATAAGTACCTCACATTCCATAAAAAACTTTGTTTTAATAACATACCTCTTTAGCGATGGTATCAAGTACATATTCACTACGTCTCCGCATAAAGAAGTGTTGTGCTTGTTGAATGATTTGTTCTAAGAGAGATTGTTCCTTACTCATATCTAGCAATTCATAACGATCTGCTGCCATTGGACCTGAAACAGACTTGAAGATAAAGCAGATGTCTTCACTTTTAGTATACAGATGATTTATATGAGGTTCTGAAGATAGAAAACTTCATCTTTCATTATTAATTGGAATCGAATATTTCTTTTAACGTCTTTTTATACCTCCACGCTTTTTATTCCTGAGGTGGTAGCCAGAGGTGCACATAATACGGTGTTTCGACGACACCCTTTATTCGCCAGTTATTTTAATATTCATACAATATTAGAGAATTAATATACCTGCTAAACAGCGTCGTTTCGAAGGTCCAAGAGGGCCTGTTGCTGGATGAGGGAAAGGATGGTGTGTGTTGGCATGATGCACAGCCCGGAGTAGCTGATGTAAGGAATGCTCCAGAACATGATCGTGGTCTGACTTGCCTGTCCCACTTTCAGGCTGAAAATGAAAAACATTTGAATTTTTTTATAGTGTGCAACCTCCTTGGCAATATCCTCGTGTATGTAGTTCATTTTTCTATACGGACCTTTACTCCTTCTGGATTGGTGTTGTTTGTATTTTGTCCATTGTTGTGGCAAAGTCCAATTAATAACTGTATGCCTGGAAGAACCTAAAATAAAGAAAATCTTTGAAAACGAAACAAACATAAAGTTTGATAGAAACAAAACATCCTATAAAACAATTTAGATACAAGACAGCAAAAGAAATTAAAATCAATACATTTTTATAAAAACAATGAAAAAAAATAGAGGAATATTCGAGTATTCAGTTATCTTTCGTTTTATTTATTAATTTAGTAAAAAAAATAAGATTTATTCATCTAAGAATTGGGGGGCTTAAGCTAAGAGGTTGTTATTAACTTGACACAAGAAAATATGCAATTTTATTTACAGTGGCCATAATTTGATTGCCCACAACCATGTGTGGTATAGATGCATCTAGTTGTACTGCTTCAGCGGCTAATCTCGCAAACAACTCCTTGCAGAAGAGTACATTCTGTGCTGCCTCCAATTTCTGCTGCCAGTGAAGTTCTGCTCCATCCCCGGGTAGCGTTCCAGGACAGTTGATGGCTGCTGAACTTAGCGTTGCTGTGACCACGTCTTCTTGTTCTAAAACAGGCATTGTTATTGATATTTGGTAATATTGCCATCTTCTGTAGTGTTTACTGTATGAAAATATGTCATATTTCATTATGCTGGTCAAGTGCTCATCATGCGACGCTCGTTGAGTCGTTTGTTAGGCACTGCAGCTAAAAACTATGAGGACCCTGGCAAGGCTTAGGCATATTTGGTCCCACTAATCCAGTTGCTTAGTTGATTACATGCAAAATGATTAAGCATAAAAAGTGGTTTGTAAAGATAACTCACCTTTTTGACAGAGCACAGATATGAAGGCCACTCCTTGCAGTTCAGGTGGAACTGTGACACGTAATGCGGACGGCACAGGTCCTGCTGCATTCATTGCTTGAGCTATTTGCTCTTCTGGTGCTTTAGTTACCTAAGAAAATATTAATTGTTTTTATAATAACTATCGTGAGACATACTAAATCAAGTAAAAACGTGGGTTACTTACGTGAATATACTGAGAAAAGCTCTACCTAGTGAGCTGCGCGACGTCGCCGCGACCGCGCACGCTGCTCATGAGGAAGAACCCCTCTGTGGTTCGAAACTAGTAGAGCTTTTCTCAGTATATTCACGTGAGTAACCCGCGTTTTTACTTGATTTAATATTAATTGTGTTAAATATAATAAAAACTCAATAGTACCTTCGAGAACTGCACTGGAGCTAGTCAGATAGACAAAAAGTACTAATTAACTTTATTTACTAGAAATACTCATCATACAAACCTCAAATACTCCAGTCTGACTAAACTTGGACCCTGCAGTACGGTAACTTAGGTCCCCAACAATAGTGTTTGATACTTTCTTCAATCTCCAGTTCTGTCGTAGCCTCAAGAGGTCTATGTGGAAGTCAGGCATGTTACGAGTCATTCGCATGGTTTCACTTGCTCTTAGCCGCTCTACTCCTGCCAGGAGTACTGCTGCTGCTGCTCCTAAAGCCTTCTTCCGTCCATAGACTTGTACCATAGGTCTGCTTTCTGTTTGTTCAGGTTGCACAGGGTCTAAAACCTGTAATATAGATAAGAGAAAAATGTTTAATCAGTAAATTAAAAAAGTGCTGTATCATTAAAAAAATTTTCTCTTTATTTACAATTGATTTTATTATTAGCATCTTTTTGGGAAAAGATCATTTAATCCGTCAAGTGTCTTATGCGCCAACATCGGCACACTTGACAGTTTAGAGCTTCTAAAAAAGGCAATACTTTCTCAAAAAGTTAATCTTTACAATCATTATCTGTTAAGTTTGTATGAGATTGCTTATTGTAGTGTCATAATATTTATGTTATTTAGTACACTTCTTCCAAAAATTTGCTAGAAAAGAGAAAAATGTTATGCAATATTTTTGTCTAAGCAAACATCCTCACTCTATTTATCATCAAGTATTCAAGTCACTTACCATGTACCTCTTCTCCTTAGCAATGCTGAGTACATCAGCCAATACTGAAACTTCAGTCAAAGCATTTCTGAGTTTGTTCCGGACAGAATCCCACGGCCACAAGCTGGACTGGTACCCAGGCTCCTTGTTCTCATCCTCAGACTTCGAATCAGAACTACTCTCGCCTTCCTTTTTGATATTACAGAACTCATCTTCAGTTTTAGAAAAGTCTATTTTCTGTGCTAAGCGAGCTAGGTTCTCTGACATAGACAGAGGCCTGGAAAATGACCAAATAGAGGGTCAAAATCACTAGCAAATTCTTACAAAAACTAGAAATAGCACATGTATGTATACTTACGCCTGATAAATCTCCTGGCCATCGTAAGTGATCTCTTGGATTTGATTCTCAATTGGCGCCTCTATAGAAATATTTACTGAATTTGCCATACTTCTTGCTTTCTTGATAGCATATATCTATTAATAATTTACTTTACCATAACATTGCCAGTATGAATTTGTACTACTTATCATTCTACGATAGTTTTAAAGTAATATATTATTGGTCATGTATTTATAAAAGTCGACGATTTACATTTACAAAATCTATGACTTGTGTGTAGTGAATATAAATAAACAATCATAGAAAATTCACTTTTGGGCGATTCCAACAAACAACGACCGCCACAAACTAAAAATCTAGCTATAATCTATCTAATTCAGTCAGATCAGTTCACTTCTTTTGACAACTTACTTTATGTCAATTTGACATTTTGATAGACAATTTTGTTTTGTTTATTATCCATTTTACGAGTACGAGGGCTTTTATCTTTCATTTATACGATAAGTTTATATCATTTCTGTTTTTAGTTATTTTCCCGACAATTTTTACTTAAATTATGGTCTTGCTAAATATGCAGTTAAATCATTGTGGGTTTTACGAAAATAATTTTGAAACATTCATTATAATTTTACTGAATTGGACTTCACTTCACTTTGATACAACAACCCCAACCAATGGTTGTCTTTCTTTGTCGTGCGTGATCACTTGTTATCGATGTTCTACACGTAGAAGTACGAAGGTTTCGTGAACACGAATTCAAAATGGAAGTCTTGGTACTGAAATATTGATTTATTTAGAAACGTTGATGCTATAACTTGCAGCAAGTTTATGAGTACACATTTCATTCAAGTGAGAACAAAAACATGTCAGATCGGGTGATAGCGGTGAGTGGAACAATCATAGGTATTTTATAATAATTTACAATAGATTTTATAGATTCGATAAACACGGTAACTCGAACCGGTCTTGGCGTAACTAGTTCGTGTTTCACTCCTACTTACTCATTGCATTTTCACTTTGTTGATGATGAGTCGAGAATTGTTCGAATTCGAGCGTGAGTTCGATATCACATAATCGAGCTACACGAGTAAATAATTACTTTTATTTGTAATTTATTAAAAACATAATGCATGAGTGAATTTATTGTTACCTTGATATGTTTATAAAAAGTAAAATTCTAGACTCTGTCATATATTTTGTCCAAGTTTCGTAGTCACTTCATTTAGTACCTTATTGTGTACCTAAGTTATTGCTATAGGTACCAAGTATAATCAAGAGGCAACTTAGTGAAACGTTCTAAATAAAATCCTAATTACAATGTCATTGACAGAAAGCTATTGCCTCATATTGAACCTTTCTATTACAATTTTGGTATATTTGGTAGCAATAAAATAATCATAAAATCAGACAATTTAGCTCAAAAGAAACTTGGATAGCAAAAAATGTACTTCATATGGCCTACAAAAAATAGTATCAAATAGAGAATAATATGTTATAAATATATGTCTCTTGTTTTCCAGTCCCGTCCCAGCCTTGAGCAGGTGCAAGCTATAGTGGACTTTATGGAGAAGCACCCAGCTCTAGGTTTAGGTCAACTAAGAGGTTTTGAGGGTAGAGATGAGGGTAAGAAGCTGTGGTTAAAGTTGACCCGTCTGGTGAACAGTCTTTCCGGCCCTACCAGACCTGTGAAGTCTTGGGTAAAAGTAAGTTTCTTTATTAAAAAGTTGTTTTATTTGATAAATTAGTGAAAGCAAATGATTGCGTTTCAGTTATTCAGTATTAAATTTATTTCCATATCGAATTCCTTGAGTTTTGCAGGGTCTTTTTTAACACATTTAATGCCATGGTCGTCACTGGTGACCGACATTAGCGGTGGATTTGCCTTCAACAGTTTCAATTGGCAGTCAAAGCCTTAAATGAAATAATTTAATTTAGACTCAGGGCCTATAGCCCTTCTCATCCTGTTTTTACACCAATGTTTTATTACCTACTTTAAAATCGATAAAATCATGAAATATTTTATTGATGTTGATATAACGGTACTTACCATATGTATTTTTCATATAGAAAATGACAATTTTTCAGTTTTGGGCTGATAAAAAATCGACGGTCAGATCCAAGGTGCAGGCTACAGGTGACCCTAACAACCTCGGCTCCAACATTGAGAAGAAGATATGGGATCTCTTTCTGGCTAACGAAACTGGCCGTAAGTTATCTAAGTTAAATTACTTTTATCACTTACTGATTTGATTTTAAAACGATGTTAACAGCTTTTGACAGCGCTGGACTTATATCTCTCTCTATGAGAGGTCTCAGCTTGGTAGGTGCAGTCTAAAAGATTCAGGTTTATCAGTGAGTGCTGCTCCGTCTCAGCCGATTGTGTATTCCTTTAGGCGGCCTTGCCACAAAAAAAAATTAAAATGCTTAGCTATAAAATGTATTATAATTCTTCAGGGCCTCGTGGTGCAGTCAAAAGAGAAGTGGAGAACAACTTTTTAGATGAGAATTTCTACAATGAGGACAGCATGGATCAGAACCATGCGGAGTCTGAACAAGTGATGACCTTTGAAGACCCCATGACAGACACTGAAGAACGACAACATCAGCTTATGGAGAAAATGGTAAGCTCATCAAGTTGTCTACACGCAACTACCTATAAGGTAACTATAACTAAGGCGGTAACATGTAGACGAATCACAACACAATGGTAAGCAATCGGCGTCGTCCATAGCACAGAACATAATTATATACCTTAAGGGTCCATAGACATCCGCAACTTCAGACCAGTCCCAAGTCTGTTACCAGCCTTATATCTGTAAGGAAGAACCTAAAGAAAGAATTCTTTGCAAGGCTCTTACTTATCTGTATCTACCTGATTTGTTTATATGTTGAATTTATACTTTTATTTCAGTTGAAAGTGCTGGCTGATCAGTCATCCGCAATGTCTCAGTTAGCGAATGCATCCCATTTAAATGCTCAAGCGATGGAGAGGCTTGCTGAAGCTTCACAAATACAGGTACTTAATTGTGTGACCTAAAATAAAGTTTTTAAACAAATAGGCTGCATGGTTTGTACAGTTGCTAACTGATTGGCTGATGCAAATAATGTTACGGGTTAGATTCCCGTCTTAGCCTTGTCAGACCTGTTTCATGTCGGATTACCGTCACAGTGGATCACGAGAATAAGAAAATTTTGTATACTTTAAATTCTGCATAAGATATTTGTAAACACTGACTGCACGGTTGGTGTGGTGGCTGGGCAACCGGCTGTCGTGCAACGTATCGCGGGTTCGATTCCCGCACGGAACAACACTTTGTGTGATCCACAAATTGTTGTTTCGGGTTTGGGTGTCATTGTGTATGTGAACTTGAATGTTTGTAAATGCACCCACGACACAGGAGAAAATCCTAATGTGGGGCAATGTTTTATAAAAATAATAAAAAAAACATTGTTTCCTTTTCATAAAATTAATTAATTAAGTACCTAGATTAATCATTAACTCTATTGTTTCATATCCAAAAGGCGAGAGCGATAGACCGTCTGGCGAACTCTTTCGAGACCATCAGTGCTGCGACTCATGACGTTCGCAATGCGATCGTCGATATCGACGTGACGATGAAGCGATTCTACTCGACATCGCCCACTTAGCACAGGTACTTGTGAACACTCGATTAATTCGATGCTGTTCGCGTTCATGCTATATTGACTCTTATATTTAGACCTAATATGAATGTAAGTTCCGTGCTGTTGTCAGAAAATGCTGTATGGATCCGAGTGTAATTTGCTATAGTGATAGTATTTAGTATAGAATAACAATATTGGACAATTAACGATATTGGATGGAATTCCACATTAAAGAAAAATTGTAAGTATACTAACTTAAGTAGGTACTTAAGACTAATCTAATACTTAGTTGTTACTACTATGTTGTTTTAAAATAAGTAAATCATGAAGGTTCTATTAAAAATGAATAACTATAATTTTCTGTTTCGCGTAATTTGTTATCCATTCATTGTCTCTGTCCAATGATAGACAAGACCGGCGTGATATTTGTACATTTAGTATCCTTTTTTTACTTCTAATGATAATTTTCAAGTATTGGATATAAAAAAAGAAAATTGTGATATTTAGGGCTGTTTAATTCCCATGTTTGCATTTATTCGATATTAAAAAAAAAAAAAAATGTTGTTGAATGTAGTTATGTAAGTATTCGAATATTAATTTGAAATTCAAAAAAGGAACTCATGTGCTTGTATTTATAATAACATTGTAACTAGAAATTGTAAATAGCGCTAAACTTATAAAATATTATGTAATGTTAGAAATTATGTTAAGGATATTCAAGTAACTATTTAGCATCATAAGTATTTTTATAGACAACAATGACTCAAAATATTATTTTATTTTAAGTACAAATAAAGCTGATTATTGTATAAATATGCTACGTAGTTAGGTACCTACTTATTCTATATTGCTCTTACAATGGGTCTACTGTTTTTTACTCACTAGATGGCGCAAATGAAGCTTATTGTTTTGTCCAATCACTGAAGCTGTCAAATATCGAACGTCCAATGGTATGATACATTCCCCATTAGATGATAAAGGAGATAATCACACTAGTGCTGCCTGGGGAACAAAAATACAGTAGCTCCCATTAAGTAGTAACTGTATAGAAAATTTCATGAAGACGTCAATATGACACAGGAATCGAATGCGATAACTATGTAGTCAAGTTTAAACATATGTGTCATAGATAAAGAATTTTATTGTATCTAATATTTTTGCAATTAACTTACTTATTAAGCTGAGCATTTATACTTGTATACTTAATTATATATATGTATAAATATTATGATTATAAACATAAACAATGTCAACTTCATTATATAACTTCGTAGTTTTAATTATTATAGTTTATCCCTGTATAGGATTCATAACCAAATTAGTACCTATATACATACCTTTATGTTACTATTAGGTTTCTTACCCAGTATTCTTTTTAAATAAAACACAAAGTATAACTTGATATATTATTATCATATTATTCTTTACAGTATCTATTCTTAAAGTTAAGCTGTATTCATATAGTACAGTTATCTATTTACTATGAAATATGTACTTAATTCTAGTATTTACAGGTTCAGAATAAAAACAAGCTAAGTCTAGATACGTCATCATCTCGTCATCACCAGTGGTGAAGAGTGCCTTGGTGGGGGCCGCGTATAACAAAATGTTTGGGCGCCCCCAAACAATTTTGGGGTTCACAATTGTTTAATTTATGACAAAAATGCTCATAAAATACACAGGGAAATTGTAAAAAAAACTGTTATTGGCCGATATTTTTCTAAAATAAATTTTGGAAAAGTACCTACATCAAAGTCTGCAAAATTTGTAAAACTCCCGGAAATCTTTCCAGGCAAACTCTGCCTAAATTATCGGACTATGTTGATTTATTAGGTGTCTTTAATTTTTTCTCACGTTCTGTCAATTTTTGAACGCGTGCTTTACGCAGGAAGAAAATAAATTACTTATGGGCCCCATATTATTGAGCAGCTACTTGCGCGCGCTTTCATACGCTCTGCTCCTATTGGTCGTAGCGTGATGTTTTATAGCCATCCTCGATAAATGCGCTATCCAACACAAAAAGAATTATTCAAAACAGACTTGTAGTTACGGAGATTAGCGCATTCAAAGAAACGAACAAAATACAAACTTTCGCTTTATATTATAATAGTATAAGATACGGCGCCAGCTACGTCTCTGACATCATCGTACCAACCACAAAAGTCCACTGCTAAACATGGCCTATGTTTAGCAATGGCTTCCAGATCGTTCGGTTGGAATATTGTAAACAGATTACAAATTTTATTCTTGCGGAGTAAAATGAACACTACCCTGTTTTAAGTCATGGTTCAGTAGAAACATCTTGATAGGCTATCTGACCAGATAACACATATAAAGCTACCTTAAATGATAGAGACCTGGTTGCAATGGCTGAGGGCAAAAAAGAACACAAAGCCAATACGAGTACCTACATCAACTATGTAAGTTGGTATATTTCGAAATTCATAAGGGTTACAGAAGAAACCTACCTTAGAATCCTGAGCTAAAAAATATGGATCTGTAACACAACAATATGATGCAACACCCGATTGTATGTATGTAGGAGGGCCAATTACTCCCCTCCCTAGTCTCCCCAATCCCCGAAACCCCCACAATCCTCGAATTCCCAATTTCCAAAACTTTGTTACGCAATTGTAACGCCTTGGTCTTTCAGGTTTCCATGGGCGATGCCGATTGCTTACCATCAGGTGACCCGTCTGCTCGTTCACCGGCTTATCCCATAAAAAATGTAGGTATTAAAATTTTTTAAATACAAACACGCGTATAGGTACAAAATGTAAATATTGATCATTATTCTCAAAGAAATTAACACCTTAAAGATACTGGACGTAGGTTGATAATCAACAATTCTCTATCTACCTAAAAAGACTGAATATCACTTTGTCGTTTTGGTTTAGTTGTCATTTTTATATTTTATAATTATATGGCGGAAGTATCTAAACACCACTTACAAAGTACGTAATCTAAGCTGTCAGTTTTTATTCGATTTTCGATTTTATTATCAATACGATAAAGTTGCAAATCGAATAAAGAAACATGGTACAAAGGAGTACCTGTATTACCTATTGTACTTAATTAAATTTCTAAAAAAACTTGAATAATCTTGCTAGAAATGGATTTCTTCGTCTTCTAGTCTGATTAGTGATTGGCTTCGTGCCTTCCACGCCCAACCCGAAGGGTGATTTATTGTTTGTTCGTAGGTAATAGTTTCCCTTAGCTCTGAAACAAAAGAAACGAGTTTATAACGATGGTTTTTAACTGATAGAAGTGATTATAAATATCGTTTGAGAATTGAGCTAGATTTATGGCGAGAATGAGAATTAAAAGGTAGGTGCCTCTCCACATAAATGTTTATTAAAGCACAGCTGAATGAATGCTAAGAAAATATTGAATTTTCAGCAAAGTAAACTGATTTGATATCTACTTAATTGGTGCTGGGGATAAAAATTCGAATATACTCAACACATAATTTACGATTAAGTAGATATAGCTAGACTATTTTATCTTAAAGCGCTGAGTCACTAGCACTAACAACCACTTCAGGATTGAGTTCCGTGCATTGACTGTCATTGGTAGATATATAATCACTAGTACCGTCCTTCAAATCGAATAGGTTAAGGCCAAGTTTATTTACGGAAAAATAATTGTATAAATACTTAAGTAAGTAATCATTAGTAAGCCGGTAATATCATAAGTGCAACAAAAAGTTTAAGTTCAAAAAAATTACAATGGCTTTTTTTTCTTGAATACCAAGTGATCTCACAAGCACTTGATACTTGGTTCAATCTACTATATGACTAACACTATAAAAAAAACTATACTTTTTTGACAAACTATTGGAAGAATAGAAAGAAAGAAAGAAAAATGATTTATTTGCACGCCGTCACAAAGTACAATAAAACAGAAAAATTAAACAGTGAAGAAGAGTGAAGACGGCGCAAAAAGGCCGAATCTAATTTAGAATCTACTTAGTCATACAATTAAAATGATTTTGAGAGAAACAATTCGATACAGAAATTATTTTTCTCTGAATTAGCTAAAATATATGAGGAATAGCAGTGTCATCTAAGATCAAACACATAGATAACATAAGTAAGTACCACTTGACTCACCACTTAAAACAGGGGAAACGTTAAACTTTAACTTTTTAATGACGAAAGAAAATACTCACTGTGTGCTAGTCAAGTCTCCCAAATATATGGTGCGGTTGGATTCCCCTCCATGGGCGACCCATTCACTGTAATTTGATGCAGCTACCGCCTGGAAAGACGTCGGCCATGCTAGGGCTTCCACGAAGTATCCCCATGAACGATCGTGACTGCATAAATCTGGAGAACAAGATTGTTTGGTTAAGGCATGCGGCATCTCTTAAATTTATATTTCTAGCAGAAACGGCAGCAGAATTATCTTAATTAACCCGTCTGCCAAGTGCGGCAGCATTCCGCGACATACGAAGCGGCAGCTGTCGCGCTGCTATAGTTCCTTCACAAAGTCGAAACCATAGCAATTAATTCAGTATGTCTCACGAACGGAGGACCCGGGGCCGCGGAGGACTTAACGGGTTGCCGGGGCTCCGGCTCAAAGTCAGGAGTAGGAGCGGGGTGGGTTTTAGTCAGTAAGAGTCTGACACTCCCTCTCGACTCACCCAGGCGGGAGAAATCATAGGCTTTGTTTAACAGTGGACGTAGTTAGTCTAAGGGTGTAAAATATCTCATAGTGATAGTGGTCATAAGAATGAGGTTGCTAATTATCACAAGTTAATCTTACTTCAAGTAGCCAAAGTATTTTAGCTGTACGCATATCAAATTGCCATTTATTTAGGCTCTATGCATATCAAATTGCACATAGGTCTTAGTGCCAAGGGCGTTATTTACCGGTCTATCCAACCTTTAGGTGATGCAGAGACGATTATCAATTTCAATATCTCAGTGAATTATGCAATACCTAAGTATAAGTAGGTACTTATTCAATGGTAAACCAAACACGATTTAGGCCCGCTATATAAGACAAGATAGCACTTGATTATTGCACGGTATCTGCAGCTGCTTTATACCTACGTGTCATAGATTCGTGTCAGCATTCTAATATTCTTTGTGTGATCCATTGATAGACACAGATAGACAGAATCCCATTGTGCAGTAGTTTTATCTAAAAGTCCTTTTGACCTGAATAGTTACGTTTATAAAGGGCATTGACTAAAATTGGTGCCTTTCTTTTTTCTGGCGGCAGTCGATGATTTATAGAAAATATTGTCTAGAATATAAATAATAATATACAAACGAAATTGTTTATGGGCTTATATATAGAAATCTCAGTCTGGACTGAGTTATGAGCGTTAAAAGGAGCTGGAATCAAACATTTTACTTTCGTTTTTTTATTCAAATTATTCATATTTTTATCACAATTCCTAACTTCAAATTGCGCGCCACTGTACGCCGGGTACAGAAACACCAAATCACACCACAGTATATCCATATTGCCAGACGCTAATTTTTATTAGCTATTTTCTCTCAGTCGATAACTTGTGGGATGCTTCTATGAGTTGTGTCATGAAGCTTCATGAGTGTCAGCTGTGGTACCATTGGTGGGTTGAGTAGTTGTAGCCGTCCAAACATCTAATAAAGTATTTTTTTTGCCATTGACTCCAGGTGGGAGACTCATCTACTTTATAGTTAGCATAATTTTTTGAAGAAAGCAAACCATCCACTTTAAAAAAATGATGGACTATACGTCAGATGAGCGCATAATTTTTTCATATAATATGATCACTTTGTGACTGAATGACGATGTCTTTGTCCAGAATCTTATGCCAGATGTAGATTAATGTATTAACTGTAGTTAGATTAGTTACTAATCGGAAGTAAGTCGGGAGAAGTAGACAGAAAAATGATTTTTTCGTGTTTTGACGACTGTTACTACTCAATCCGCTACCGACGCCGTAGTTGATAAACATAGCATTTCATGATAGGGCTCAGTAAAGTATTTTGCGGGTTTTTGACTGAGAGGAAATTGATCATGAAAATCTGTCATAGGCCATAAACCGTATACATATAAATTGAACACGCTAGCCAATTAAACGAAATGTTTTTTTTTCTTCAGCAGTGGTCAGTTAATGGTTCACTCTGTTCCGATTCCGTGGTCTTATAACAAAAAAAAAAAAAAAAAAACAACCAATAAAAAATTATTATAAAAGTCCACAATAAGCTTTATTATATTCCTTGAAATCGTCTATAAACATTTATTACAAAATATTTCTGACAAGTAAATGAAGAAATATGCGTTGTGTACGGTCACCATCAACAAAATCACAGGAATTATATAGCACTATTTTCACATCTTTTAACTCGGTTTGGACTGTGTTTTTGATATAAGACCCCATACATTTTTTTGTTTGTAATGTTATTCTGCATCAGTTTATCCACATCCGATCAACTGCCGCGAAAAAATGAAAAGGCACCACGTTCCATACAAATTTGGTCAATGTCATTTCGTATTTACATAAAATCCCCATGAAGATAACACTAGATAAAACAATTGACATTCCAGTTTTTCTAACATTTTTTAATTAGTCGCAAGTTTGTTGGTATTAGGTCAACAAGTAGGCTACATCACGAATGGTTGGCGTTGAATATTTATGACCCACAAGTGGGCCTGCAAAAGGTATTTTAGTCATACAAAGAATTTTCTAATAATAACTAATATATTATATACCTTAAGTACTTACCTATATTCCGAACAAATAAATGAATATGTAAAAAAAATGTTAACCAAAATGTAATTTATAATAAGCTGGTGACACCCCTAAAATTTGCAACGCCTGAAAAAGGTCGTTAAGCTGTGCCTGTTATTTCATAAGACCTGTATGTATTACCTTAACATGCAAATAAAGAGTTTGAGTTTGAGTTTAAGTTTCTATAGCCAGCTAAATAACTATAAAAATGTGATCGCCACTATAGAGGCAGACACAAAGACCTTTTTACTAGACTGTGATAAGAATTCAACGTTTAGATAAGGTTTCATTGCCAAATTAGATAGGACAACATTTAAAATTGTACGTTTGTCCATGGTACTTTATTGGCGAATATCTCGAAAAGTAAACATGTAACAGTAAAGTACTAAGGAAGTAATTTGAAGTAACATTTTTTAATCTTTAAGTGCTTAGGAGTTTAGGAGATAAAGATATAGACACATGAGTACTTTCGTCGTTAATTTGAGTAATTTACTGTGTACTAGTGCAGTCTAAGTAGGTTAATTGTAATCTCGTTCATTGGTCTCATAGTTGACACGAGGATGCAGTGTTGATTTACGATAAATATTTCTTTTGTATAATTCTATATGTACCTAGTAAATTCCAATTTTATGATTTAACCTCTTTTGGTATGTCGGAGCGTAGATCTACGCGGGACACAATGAGTTTTCTATTGTGTCTCATATATCGACAGACAAGAGGTTAAACCAATGGGAAGGGGATTTTAGAGTCTTTACTTCCAAATAAAATAATATTAAAAGAACTTAATTATTTCGATCGGAGCCGTGTTATTCCTAGGACGCCAAGTCACAGAGGGGCATCGCCAGAAGCGCGTGCTTAACTTGCAATAAAAAAAATAGGAGTGCCAATGATGTGCTTGCGTAGGACGCTCTCTAGGCATTATCTGACTCTTACTTCGATTAAACAAATCCCATTTTCTACTATTGACTTCCTTAAGTAAATAAGCTATACAAAAGTAATACGATAAACAATGGTAGGTAGGTCTGTTGTGTACACCTGTGCTTAGTTAGGTATGTAAAAACTTACTTCCTACAAATCCTACATGATGGTAACTTGCCAAGTCATTGATAATAATATATGTACAATATTAAATAGGTACTCATGGTAGTTTTTTTGTTATTTCTTGTACCTATTGAAGACGTCCGTGTTTTATTCCGCTCCTAAGTTGGCAAGAGACCTGCAGACACAGATTCTTCAGGTATAACCTGGGTGTCTTCAAGGCCCGAGTGAATAGGTTGCTTATGGGCAGGCGTACTCCGTCGTAGGCATCAACACTAGCAGGCGATATAGTGGCCAAACGTCGCGTTGCTCCATCAACCTTCTATACATGTTATAAAATCGTAGGAATTCATATAATAAAACTGTAGGAAAGTGAAAACTGTACATCGAATATTTTTTCAAAAGAAAGTTTGGGCGTGATCTACACTCGATACCGAAACCAAAAATATGGTTTTTAGAATTTTTGTTTGTTTGTCCGGGATGAACTCAAAAAGTGCTGCATGGGGTTACCTCAAATTTTTCATGAATATTACTAACAGGTCCGGTTAACATTTAGGCTACGTATTATCATGCTATCAACTACAGGGGAGGAGCTGTGAATCATTATTCCACGCGGACGGAATGTCGGGCGCGGGCTCAGCTAGTAGGTAATATTAGAAAAATATTTCGTACATGCTGGTCTTATAAACTTTGCCTGTTTTTGTTGTAAGCATCTATCTTTTGCCTTCCTAATAAATTCCGCCTACGATTCGAGTACAAAATATTATTATTTTCATCATCAAACCAGAAGATATTGAAATAATGTTATGAAGCCCAGGAAGGGGCGTCAACAACACGTGTTGTGTACTACATAGTAATTTATATACGTACCCATGTAGTAGGTCGTATCTTACATATTGATGTGCATTTTACATTAGCGGGAAAAACATTGCTTTATAAACTTAGTGCGTAGATAAATGTTTCATTATTATTTACCATCCTTTATGTTGTATGCGTATGTAGGATATGTTAACATAAATTAGTCAATACGTACATAATTTATAACACATTTCATCAAATGCTCTTCCTGTAAGTGTATGATAAAGTATCCGGTTGTTTTATAGGGCCGGATGAGAAAGTTCAGATATGGTAACATACATTAATATCTTTTAGTACACTTGTTGGCCTCCAAAGGACTCGTCTATTACTCTTATACCGATTGTTAGGTGACATGAAAATTGTTTGCGATCACAGAATAGCGTATTTTATCGATTAAAATGGGAGTGAATAGGTTTTTTAAATGTCGGCAAGGCACATGTAATGTCTCAAGTGTAGTAAGCGTACATAGGCCACGGTAACCACTTACCATCACATGGGCCGTGTGTTTTATTTGCCACCGTCGTGGTATAAAAAAAAAACTATCTGCTTCTCATTAGCTATTGACAGTTGGAGTCGATGGTAAGGTTCTTAAGTTGTACTTAAATAGGCATCTAATTAAGTTCGTATAGGCATTTTTGCAATCACCATCATCATGACAGACCACAACCATAGACAAAACAGACAATATCAACCTTATTACCTTCAGGACTAAACATTTCAAAGTTTCCAATTGGGCAGCCCGGCTGTTTGCTTTTTTCTCCAGTGTAGTTGGGCCAGATATCCACAGTACCAGTGGAAGTGCTGGAGCCATAGTTCCCAAGGTCTGTGTGAATGATGTCCACGAACTTGGCACACGTGCGGTCAAGGCCACTATGTAACGAAAGCGGGCCTTCGAACAGAGTACCAGCTGGATCTAGGCCCGTGATTCTGAAATGAGATAGAGAGAATCTGAATAGAGATCAGCTTTCCAAAAAGAGATACGCAATATGCTTAAAGCAAGACGTAATAATGGAGGTACCTCATACTAATGTATAGTGTGTCCCATGTAACCTAGTGCTAACCTATTCTATTAGGGACGAATGCAGATTGTGTTTATATTTTGAAAATAAAAAGCATGATGTTATACATAATTTAAGAGCTGAACTTACATCTGTGACAAACGATAAATGAAAATACACACTTTTTAGATTTTACATAAGCCACTTACCATAACGAAGGTGAAATAACAACTCTATTAAAATAAAACTACAGGAATTGTTCCTATTTGGGTTATAGGTACCTACTATTTGGGTTATTTGCTCACAGTGACAGAATATTCTATCACGATGATATGTTCTGTGCGTAAGCAGGTAGCACACCACGCAGTAAAATGGAGGCGGGTACAGGATAATCACTATTACCCATTATTCTTGATATCCTTATTGATAGAGTAGAGGTCAATACATCTATTGAATACGTAGCAACTTACTGACAAACAGTGTATGTATTATTAGTATCATGTATTTATACAATCGGGCATAGACATTATAAATGTAAAACTTTGTATGTTTGTTTGTTTGTTTGCTACTCCTTCAAGAGAATACAGCTACAAGATCCCTGTTACAAATTTCATCTTGATCCCTACATAGTCTGGAATAACCATAGGCGATTTTTTATCCCACGGCAACGCAGACAAAGCCGCTCGCGCTGGCAGAAGCTAGTCGTTCATAGATTTTTATATTTTTCTAGTCGTTTATAAGTAGTTAGTCATTTTGAGACCCTTACCTAGGCACTACATAGCCCTGTTCTCTGGTCAGTCTTCCAGCAAATCCCATGAGGTGTGCTCCAAGAGAATGGGCTACCAGGTGGATGTCTGATATGGCCACTCCAGCCTTCGTGAAGGCTATCAGAGCTTGTCCCAGTTCTCGGCCAATCTAGATTGGAGAAATAGGTTTTAAGACATATAGTACCTAATACTTTGAAGTTGTTCCTACGTGTTGGATGAATTTACTGGTTGTCTTTTAAAATCATTAGTTTGATTACGCGAGTTTGGGTCTCTGGGTCAATAAACTAGCCGGAAAAAGCATTCATGTTTTGAAAATAACTCTCTAGGCTCTAGCCTATGATATTAAAAATACGTCTGTAGGCTCACCCCTATTATAGTGGACACTCTTAGAAATAAGTACTTCGGTCTTATTAAAAGTGTACACATATGTTTGGGTTATGTCGGAATACTGAAACGCTACTCAATTTTAACTCGTGCTTAAGTATAGTTCTATCTCTACAAATTCTTTGTAAAATGACAGAGATGGCACGATATTTGAGCACGAAACATCTGAGACATCATAAGACATATGAATACAGATATCGGGATAATACAGGATGTACGGTACACATTCTTGTTCGGTATTTGTTATTCACCGAGAGTGACATATTTTAAATTTTAACTAAGCTACGAAATCCTGTCGATGCGTCATGTATCATACATTTTGTTTTGTCATGGCTTAGTATGCAGAGCAGAGGCTACAACCGCGATTGCATAACTTGTTTTACATATAAAGAAAGTAAACAAAGGCAGCTGGAATAACAAGGAGTCAGAACGTCATACATAATTTTTATCAAAGGAATTCTTTTGTTTAAAGGGTCAAACAACTTTAAAAATACTTAATTTATTCTAAGTACTTATACATTCTACGGATTGCCGGGGCTGAGCCTCGAAGAGTAGGAGTAGGAACGGGGTGGTTTTTAGAAGGCGGCCAAAAAAGAAGTTTACACCAATTCCATTTTCCTACAAACCTACCTATATTTTTGCTGTTGTTTATAATTGGCAATATAAAACAAAATTTATGACGTTATTTTTTACTTTCATTACTTATTTGGAAATGGAGTATCTTGGTAGTAGGTTTTTTTTTGGTTATTTTCCTGCAATCTGTCTCTAACGAACATTCAGCACATGGTCAAGAGTTTAATTTGTCTTGTAGGGTCACCAGTCCAGCGACGTGGGCCCTTTAGAATTGATCCTTTATAGGTCTCCAGGGGCTTTTCGTTTTTGTAGTAGGTTAACTACTTTTTTATATGTTGTTATAATAACTATCGTGAGTTTACTAACTATTATATTAAATTAACTAAAAATCGCGGGTTATTCACGTGAATATACTGAGAAAAGCTACTAGTTTCGAACCACAGAGAGGTTCTTCCTCATGAGCAGCGTGCGCGCGGTCGGCGCGGTTAGATATTTTAGTTAGGGTGCATTCAAAAGTGTCGTTACTTTTTATCCCATTAAATCCCTACCTATAGACTACGAAATGAATCTTCAGAAATCTTTAAAGCTTTTTGACCCATTGTGACAACCAACTTTTCCATTCTCACTACTTATTTGTACAAAATCTTTGGTGTTATAAATATATGATTAGCTCACCTTCTTAGCATTAGGAATGGCACTGAACGCGTATCCTAGAGAAATACCGAACATTCCACTTTCAGCCTCATTCTCCCAGTTCAGAAGTATGATATTCCTCTTCTTCTTATTTATGTAAGCTGTTAATACTGCTGTTGTCGCTGGTCCAGAAATCCTGCCTCGATAACCGAAGGTATATATCACAGTAGGCAACTCCTTGTTGATGCAGGGGATTAACTTTAGTGGGTGTGACAATGGAGTCTCTACATAATTGTTGAGGGACCTGCAAAAAGACGCCATGTTTTTTAAATTACACATTTACAGTACACATTCGTCACTTTTACATATATTCTTTTACGTATACATAACTATTCTACTCTGTTTGTTTCGTGTTTCTTGTGACTTATTTCTATTAACTTTAGTATTTCATGTTGACATAGTACTATATAGATTATTTACAATTTAATTAATATTTGACTGTCTCGTTGGCCGAGTGGTCGTAAGTGCGACTGCCAGGCAAGAGGGCAAAGTACTACTGGGTTTAAAAAAAATCTCAGTAGTAGCACGGAGTCTGGAATTGTGCCCGGTTATATGGCAATAGGCTCACCCCCTATTACATGGGACTCATAACATAAATAGTGAAAAGTGGGTGTTACATTGTACAATGGCACAATGTGCAACTCTGCCTACCCCTTCAGGGAAAAAAGGCGTGATGTTATGTTATGTAATTAATATTTATTTTGTACACCAGTCATGGTTAAGCATGTTGATACAAACAATATTGCACATGTATAATAAACATTGACTGCACGGTTAGTGCGGTGGCCGGGCAACTGGCTGCCGTGCAGCGTGTCGCAGGTTCGATTCCCGCACGGAACAACACTTTGTGTGGTTCACAATTTTTTGTCTCGGGTCTGGGTGTCATGTGTATGTTTGTAAACGCACCCACGATAAAATCCTTGCTTCCAAAAGTTAGCTTGTAAGTATTATTATAATCTACACATGTTTTGGCATATAAAACTATCTTTATATATTTATTTACAGTGATAATGTTGTTATTCTGGTCGCATAAATTGCATTCATAAACTTAATTACTTTAGATACACAATTAACCTGTCTGTTTATATAGCTAGGCCAAATTTTTAGTTGTTGCATAAGGCATAAAGTCAGTGTCCATATATCCAATAAAGAACTAGGTTTGTAGAACTACCTCAATCAAGGAAATAAGCAACGAAGAGGTTTATTATTTATTATAATTCATTCTCTTTACTGCAATTTGTAACAAGAGATGTCGTCATAGACCTCCTGTTTATAAATACAAAATAGGTACAAGTATTCTCTACACGTACTACGTTAAATTTTGAAAGAACTGAAGAAGTGTTATTACTAAGAAAGAAATAGTAGATAGTAGGCAATTTTCATATACAATTATCATTAAAATATCTTGTTTATATTATAACTAGCGACCCGCCCCGGCTTCGCACGGGTGCAATATGCATGTATTATACATAAAAACCTTCCTTAAGAAACACTATCTATTAAAAAAAACCGCATTAAAATCGGTTGCGTAGTTTTAAAGATCTAAGCATACATAGAGACAGACAGACGGCGGATAGCGACTTTGTTTTATACTATGTAGTGATTTTCCTGAGACATACTGAATTAATTGTTGCACAAAGGAATTATAGCAGCGCATCAGTAGCCGTTTCAAATGTCGCGGAATGCTGCTCATGAGTATGAGCCTCTAGTATGGCTTGATTCTAGTCGAGTTTCTTGTCAAACAGTTACGTGTGTAAGCCCAAATCATATCTAATAATTAAACAGTCTTGGTTGACTGAATGATAGTGAGCAGACGCCCAGGCATTACCCACATATACAATACATAACAGCCTAACAGGCTTCTAATAACTAATAATATTATTCCTGTCATCATCATCATAGTCATCTTAAAATGTTCCCAAAATTTTGGCATTGCCGTTATGTTGTTCATGGCCACACGAATGAAACTAGATTATTATTTAATTTAAAACTACTCATAAATATTTATAACTTCTTATATAAGTACCTACCTAAAATACATTTTTGTATTTCGCACAAACTATTATTGATTGCACAAAAATAATTATTGCGTTTATAACCGGCGAATATTGCATATGGAAACGGGGCAATGACCTTTACTTTTGCTTATGTATGTGTGACTCGCAATTCGATGCTTCGGAATTCAAAATTGTTAAAAAAATACGTTATTTCTTAATAGATCTGTGGTAGCGCTATTTTAATCTTTTATGCTTATTTTAAAAGAACTCGAGCGTATTCCACTTATCTAAAATCTAGATTTGTTAATAGGTATTCGCATAACCTAATGATATTATACCTGACCTTGAGTCGAATTCACGACCTCCTGTAGTTGTATTCACAAAAACTAGACCAAACAGTCACTGCGTCAAAGAAATTGTAATGGCTGAGTGACTGTAGTTAATAGAAACACGTCGTTCTATCTGTAGTGCAAACACCAGCGCATAAACGTATCCTAATCTGTATTTTGTTCATATATTTTCAACTTAATCACAAAACGATAAGGCTGAAAATTTAAGAAGAACGAATTGGTGTAGGTTGATGAGCTGGCTTCTATAAAATAAAAAATAAAATAAAATAAAAAGTGTTTATTGTAACAAAAACCTTAGACACACAGTTTATGAATACTAACATCTAAACTAGGCCGAGCCTGTACCTTAGATGTTAGTTCCTTCCAGTTGATACAATATATTATTTACAATTTATAGTTTGTAAATGTTTGATAATACCATTGATATCTAATGCACGAGTATGACAATACAATAAAACAACCTTGAGAGACAGGAGGGTACCTAATAAAAACATAGGTACTGTACACAATATCAAACTTTTTATGAATTACCCGCACAGAATGAATTCACTTAAACTGTCAAACACCAAGCGGTCACCGGTGACCGCGACCTATTGTTCTTTAATTGTGTCTATAAAACCGGTACTCGACGAGCTAAGTATAGTTAAACCACTAAAACAATGAACTTAGATAAAAATAATAATATTATGTATATATTTTTTTAACTTTATTATTTTATTTATTTATGTGTAAAGTGTAGTGTAAGGTGGTGTATGGTCTATGTTTGTAACAACGGCTTCTATTTACACGTGCGTGATAAATTACAAATTTTTGTTAATATATTCTTTGCACGCATTGTTCTGGTTCTGGCCGTGGCTCAGACCTTAACAATATGGTAAAAGACAGTTTCAATCTGTATTATTTGACTGTCTTGTAACTCTTGACACTGAAGTAAATCTACTGAGAAAAACATTGTATTTAGAACTTTGTTTCGATATTGAAATACGAACTTGCCTTACAGATAGCAAGTCAGTTTTAACTATGGTGAATTTTGTTAGATAATTGGACAGCGACATGTACTTATTGCTCTAGTGGATTCAGCAACCGTTCTATAGACAGACAGACACAGTACGCTATAGACAGATATGTGCATTTTTTGTAATATTGCTTGTCTTTAAGATTGACGGCGATTTTGCCGTCGTAGATGAAAAGTCCGTAGCTAAAAGAGCTATAGTTAGGTTTATCTTCGTGTCGGTGAAACACTTAGTACGTGAAAAGGGCTGTCGTCGAAAGTAACGCATATGAAAGGTCCTATCGGCGAAATGTCCATAAGTGAAAGACCCTGTTGGGGAAACGGAAATAAATGAATCATTCTGTTGACGAACAGTCCAGTGGCGAATTGGTCGCAGGAGAACGGTTGCTGAATCGCTCTAGTGGAGCCACCTATTAAGAAAAACAATGTTAAAGTGTTTTCAAATTCGTTAAGTACCCAATCAATAATTGTGATTGTATCATATTTTATTTTACGTTTATTAATTCAGCTATTACAAGGATAATTATGTGTAAAGTAATATGTATCACAAACTTGTTAGACACGCGAAATCATGTGGTAATTTTTCATTAGTTGTTAAAATTGCTGATACTAATAAAAAAGTTTCGTAACGGCATGATAGGGACTAGTTTTGCACTTTGTAGGTAAGTATTAATTACTAAAACGACTGTACCTGTATGAAATGCTAGGTTGAGTACCTATTGCTGATTTCCGTCGGACAATTAAAGCAACACCTAACAATCAACTTTCAATCGACATGGCGTAGGAATCACACAGACCTCATTTTCTTTTGCCTTGAAAGTCTACTATATTTTTATTGATCTAGTGGTCATTACAGTTCTAGGGCTCTTAGTCTACCTTGGAAGAGGTTTAAAAAAAATAAGTTTAGATTTAGAAAAAAAAACTGAGTAGGTATATGGCGCTGTGATCTTGCGTATGGTAAAAGACTTGGCATCATGGTTATTACTGAAAAAAATCGTTTAGGTATGTCGTTAAGTTTGGATAATCTGCGAAAACCATAATAAATCAGATGTAGTCTACTATGCTTTGTTACAGAATACGGTGTCCAACTTGGTGCACGTGTCTAGAATTATAAGTTTCTATTTTATTAGACATCTATTGACATTGGGCCACAGTTTTAATATCTTAATACCTAGTTTTATATTGCAATATTTTCAATTTAAGAATTTATAGCCATTTCGTAATTTTTGATGAATACAAATGGTGTTACTTTGATTTGTGATTGACAGGTAAGTGTCATTGGAATATTATAAATAGGCTAAAAAAGATTATGACTGAAACTATTGAATAAATCTTTAGAATTTTAATCTAGTTCACTGTACTTTGATAAGTCATTACGTATTTTGATCTAGGCCATTGTCAAAATAGTTTTATTTAATATAGCAATCGCAACATTAATTTGATTTTTTTGAAAATACGCTGTGTTTGACTCGACTTGTCAGTAATGAAGCGCAACATTGCTAAAGACGTGCACGCGCAGGCTACCGGTGCGGCGCGTTGTAAACTGAAGGTCACAGCATGAACTTGTACTCATCTATTTGTTTCACTATTTAAATTAGGTTTATGTCATGACAAGGGCAAGGTTTTTCCCTGAAAATGATAAAATAATGGTCATTTGTTGTTTAAACACGATAGGCAAGATTTATTTTATTTTTGGAGGTTATATCTGATACTGTTGGATACAAAGTCGTACTAGGTAAGTAGGTACATTCAAATATTTAAAATAACACTTTTTCGTAAAATGTTTTGTAATAAACGTATAATATTTATATATTCATGTATAGCAGTAGCCAGTAGTTAGTTGCAAATGATAAAAATTAAGACAAAAAATATAATGACTTTTATA